TTCGTCCAGTCTAAGTACTTGCTACCAATACAACACGGTACTTCAGGAATACACAACTTCAATACAGCACTCAGCCACCACAGCTGTCACTGCACACACTCAGTGTTAGAGCCATTAAAAACAAATGTGTCACAGCCAAAACTGTAAGAGCCAAAGCATAGCCACGACTGCAGTCACAGTGACAGCTGCAGTCATAATCAGAGCTACAGTGTGTCTCAGCAGTGGTCAGTTAGAAAGCTACTGAACCAGCGCCTCTATTTTTAATTTTAAAGCAATGATGCTGACTTTTGCAAAGGAGTCAAAGCTGAGGTGCACTGACTCTTTCTGTAGTCACAACCAGCGGTGGTTTACTATAACACATGATACTGTCATACTGCTCAGTCTCTGTGGGTCACTACTGAGAGGTAACGCAAAAATAATCCTCAAAAAAATGTTGTTGTGACTTTTGGAAGGCTCTGTGGGATGGACTGTAATAACTTTGGTGATATCTGACTCATACATTTAATAATACTGGTTTATGAACAAATACAAATGCACAACAAATTCCATTCTTTATGGCCTCAGCTGTACGTGTTAACAATTGCATGCTATTATGCTAAACAAAGACAGCAAACATACAGTAAAGGCTGAACATTAGCATGGTAATAGGGCCAGTGTGAGCCTTTTGTTTTTGTTCTTGATTGCATACAAGACGTACAAACAGCCATCCACACACACACACACACACACACACACACACACACACACACACACACAAACTGATGCTACGTGCTGCTGTAGACCTTGGGAGGGGCTGGTCAATGGACAAGAATCCAAACTGTTGAGAGCTTGGAAATTAGAAAATGAAAGGGGTCAAGAGGGAACATTCCACAGCAGTGCCCTGGTCACCTGATCTCTTATGAGGTCAAGGGTCAACTAATGAAACCTACCACCAGCCTCTCGAAGGCTTTAAAGAGAAACAGCTATACAGTTTACAGCAATGAAACATAGCCCAACGATTTAACTGAGGATAATTTTAGTAACTACTCTGAGGTTAAAGGACATGCTGATTAAATTCCCTCTGGGGAAGAGGAAAGGAGAAACAACGGTTGTTTTCCTTGTCACGAGAAGGAAATGTGTTGTTCTGATGGACCGGAAACTACAAAGAAAACACATCCCAAAAGTCCTGTACTCTGCCGCTATTTGTCTCTTTAATGCTCTTGCCTTTGTCATGCAACAAGCTCCTTGTCCGGCACAACAACCGCAGCTTGGATGACCATGTGTGAAATGTGCAGGGTGCCCCCATGTTGGGAGATTTGTGGAAGCGGACCCTCACCCCACCCCAGCCCTCCCCACCTAACACCCTCCCCAGCAGGAGCAGCTCAGAGGCCAGCCAGAACAATGCCAAGGCAATGGCTTAATTCGCCAGGCCAGATTTACAGCCCCTCCTGCACAGCACCTGCTCACATTGTTTCCCAGGATTTGGATTGAAAACTTTGAAGAACCGGTGATAAAAATTGGACTGCAGGCAGTCCATTCTGTATAGACACCCCCTTAGTTAAAGATCTCTTTTTATGTTCGGGAAATCTCTGGGACTTAGATGAAGAAGTCAACTGAGCAAAATCTGACATCATGAATACCCTTCATGCCAGTGGGGGTCACCAGGTTTATGGCCATGCTGTTGTCCATTGTCCCAAACTTTAAAGGAGTGCGAGTGCTGGTGCAGCAGAATTTAACCTGCAAACATCACTGTGTACGTCCGCGGAACCTCAAATGCTATTTACGTAGCACACAAGCAACTGAACAACATTCTCTGCATCGATAATAACTAACCAACAAGTGCGAAGACACTCCCCGTCCAAGTGTTGGTTTGCAGAAGGCACATTCCAGAGCTGGCCTGGGAGAAAGTGAGAGGCTCTACAGAGGAGAGAGGGACTGCAAAACAGAATTCCCAGAGAGGTTTGAGGAGGAGGACGACTGGAGAGCAGAGGCCCCTTTTGTCACCGGGACCTCGTTGGTGCCTCAGGGGCCATATGGACGCCTGTCTCTGTGCACCCTCACATTAGCCCATTCTTCACCCTCCTCCTCTCCCTCTGCTCTGTGACAGGACCGTCCACGTGAATGAGTCATGGCCAGAGTGAAGTCGACCCCAGCTCACTTCTGCTGAGGAGAATCAGCTCTGTTTTCCATCTCTTGCCATCTTCCTTTTCCTCCCCTCTCACCCTCTCCTTCCCCCTTCTCACCCAACATTCAACCATTTGTGCTTCTGTTGTTCATCTGTTCCCTCAACCGTCGCTTTGCTCTCTCTTTCCCTTTTGAGGCATCTTGGACACAGTGTGAAAACTTGGCAATAGACAGCTGCCCCCTATATTATGCAGTGCCCCCCCTATTTTCTCTGTCCCTCCAGCCTCTTTTCTGGCAGGATACCGGCTGTCAGTTTGGGACTATAGGTTTGCTGCACTGCTCTTGACCTTAGATGGACCCAGCACTCTAAGGCGTCCTTATTTTATCCCCATGAAGAAGCGAAACTAATGGAGTCCAGAAAGCTGGTGAGGTACTCCTTGGAATATACTGAGGAGAAACAGCATTCTTCAAAAAGTTGAGAACAATGCAAGTTTGATTTCGAAAAACCTTTTTGGTAAAAGAGTTCGATTGAAATTAATGAGCAAACATCGCTTTTTAAAAAATTTTTTATTGCTGCAGAACTGTTTGGCTCTGATAACGGTCCTCCACTGCTCCCCTGTTCCTGTTGACAAAGTTTCAAGGCCATGCATTCAGGTGCAGTTTCCTGCAATCTCAAAACTGTCTCATAAGTGATTGAACAGCAGCTGGCCAGCCAATAACTTTTTTACAACCTTTGGAATGTGATGTTACTGATTCAAAAATTAATTGAAAAATGATAACATAGCAGCCCTGCTAGAATGAGTGGATTCATCCAGCAGGCCCATGAGGCAGGCTGCTTCAAATCCAATGGCAACATCTGACCATGGTTTAGATCATGAAGTTACAGTTGAATAAACTGACTTTTTGTACACTGAGGTCAAACACTGACATGCCACCACCTTGTTAATTACAGTTACACAGTGATATTCATTTTTTGCCATCTCGCCGTCTGACCAACATTCACACAGCTTTTGTTTTGGTCTTCACCAAGTCCTGAGGGAAATATCTGACTGTTTAGCTGCTTAATGCGCCGTTATATTCACCAGCTAGTTTCTCTGTCTGCTGTTTGGTGCTGGGCAAGAAGTGCACAACATACATCATACATAGATTACTGAGTGTCCTTTCATATTACACATTTGACCTATTTGACCCAGCGGTTACCCACCATTCTTGCCTTGCCCGGTTAAAATATACTCAGTCATATATGTATATACACTTCTAACTATTCCAGAAAGCTGCTGTCTGATCCGTGGCTTAAATCAATACACATACTGAGAGATCATTTCTACAATTGGTGACTAATGTCTTTTGCATGAAGGACCCCAGTCTGTAACTGTTAAATCCTCTTCTTTGTAAAACCCTACGTTTATCAGCAGCACATAAGATGAGCCAGGCAAAAATCATTTACAAACTGAAGACTCTTTAAACAACATCACATCAATGTCTTGACACTGAAGAGCCATATAATGACTTTCTGTCAAGGTTGAATCCTTCAGATATTCCAAACTGGATCCTCAGGGAGTAGTGGTGAAGAGGGCACTAATGGATGGCATTACCCAGTAACGAGATCTCAGATGAGTGCATGAAAATAATCCATAGGTGACCCTGAAGGCCCACCTCAAGGACTGTATGAATGTTGATGGTGGAATCAATTTGCTCAAATGTTCACTGTTCTCATATTTTACAAATAAATAGGATATAAAGTACATTTCAGTAGAAACTGTTTCTACATACCGCATGTTATGACAAATATTGAAAAACAGCTTCATAGATACAAATTCTGAAATTATATGAAATGGACCTTTATATGAGAGATGTCAAGAAATAACGTTTTTATAACAACAGTTAAAGCCATCAAATTGACTAAACTGAATACATTTACAAAACAAGAACACTGTTTTGTATAAAATACAATCTGCGTTTGTACATGTGTGAATGTGTGTGATACTAGGTATCCTTAGTGCCTGCAGCAGCTGGCCACAGGCCCACGCTCTTCAGGAGCTTCTCTTCCAGCTTTAGGTACTCATTGTACTTCGCCGTGTTTTCCTTTTCGATGTCCTGCTGGATTTTGACTGGTTTGTCAGGCTCCTGCTGACAAAACCAGAGAAGTAGTAAAGTTATTAACAAAGGCACTTTGAAGCGCTCTGTATCCAAGAGCTCATGTTTCCCCATCTTGAAAGCAGAAATCATACTATCTCTGACTTTTAATAGACTGATTTTTCATTTACTCATACAAATATCGATCATTTACACACACTTTTAAGTAGATTTTTATCGGTCTATGATTTCATTGTTTACATGAAATAAAAATGTGACCAATTCTTATTTTGGCAAATGCAAAAAAAATGTACAAATTAAATTTTACATCATTAATCATCCATCTGGGGAACCAAATAATATCACTGAGTATAATAAATTCCCCAGATGTCTTGTCCTTGTCGTGCATATAAACTACAATATTAGTTGGTTCATTCAGGTCAACAAGCAACAGACGTTGGAGATGAACATAGCAGCATGTGTGGGAAATTCAAGCCTGTTTGGAGGAAAAACAAGAGAATATCCACAAGCCCAGAAACAAACACGAGATTACTGTAGCAAAACAAAACATTATCTGCATTCAAGCTGCCTTCCAGTCTAAGATGGAAACATTTAGCCGCTAAAAGATTTCACTTCTATAGTTAGCAGACAGACTGCAGGCACTGGCTGTCAATATGGCCCCTATCCCCAGTGTCCAGGATCAAATAACCATCTGAATGAATTAAACATGAGGGCAGAGAGAATGAGACAGAAACACAGAGACAGTGAGAGAGCTCCAGCTTTTCCAGTGTCAACTTTGAACTGGGACACATTTAAACTGGGTCAACAAACATTTCTTGGAATTACTGTACATTTGGAGGACTGTTCACCAGTACAGTGAGGTTGAAGCGTAGCGGAGGAATGCAGTCTCATTCAAGGCCACTTTAACAGCAAATATTGATGGTTGGGAGATCATGCACTTGGTCTGTCTACATTACCCGAGTCTGTGTGACAATTTAAACCAACAATCCTCTTTAAATAAACTTACTTCTTTGGTTGTAAATGTGTCAGTAAGCGCACAACAAACTAGCTTGCACGACATGTTGTCTGACCACATCTGACGGTTCAAGCGTTTGTAGAACAGCCATCAAAAAGCTTTATGTCGCAGAGTACTAATTGTTTAGATACTGGAATAACGGCAAACACTTTTAGACAATCTCTCCTGGAAGGCATCCACAGTGTAGTTGTGGGAGCAGTGACGTAAAAAGTGAAAAACAGACTTAAAAGAGAGACAAAACCCGTTTGTTCTCACTGTTTTCCTGTAATCTCTGTAAAAAGTTAAAGTCACTGAAAGAAAAACCTGCTTATTTTCCCACCTTCACATAGCTGGCCAATTGTCAGTTACAAGTTACAATTATTGTTGGACACTGCCCCCTTCCCCTCTCAGATGCTATTTGGCCATCTCACATTCCTGTTGTTCGATGGATGATGGCACATTAAGTCTATTTTAAATCCTGTTTAGAATTAAAATGCACAGCTCACCGTTTTCTTCTTAAGTTCCTCTGCCTTCTTTTTTTCTTTCACCCACAGTTCGTTCCTTTTCAAATAATCCTTCAGCCTGTCTTCCTCCAGTTCAAAGTATTTTGTCACATGAGAACTCTGCACACAGACACAAGCAAAAGAAGCTGGTTCGTAGTTCTAAAGTGTAATGTGTCTTAAAACAATTAAATACTGTCATAACTAATAACACAACAACTCCACTACTTTTCTGACAAAAAGCTTTGGTGAGCATTGGAGCAAAGCAGCTTACCTGGCTCTAAAATAAAACAACTGTTGTCGTGCTGCAATGCTGTAGATACCACAGTTTCTCAACCTTGACCGAGGGTCTATTGTTGTGTACTTTTGCGCAATAGCTAGAAAAAACATGGTACGTAGTCTCCTTTAAAGTGAGTACAGAGGAGGTGGGTCGACTGTCTTACCTCTGTCCTGAAGGGAATGTGGAGCGTCTTTGGGATTTCAAAAACACGGAGCATTCCAAGGTCGTCAGTCAAAGCCAGGACGTGCAGCTTGGCTGTAGGTACAAAACAATCCAGTGAATTAGCTTCACAGCTCAAAATAAGGAACACATCAGGGCTATGAAAAATAAGTAAAACAGACACAGAAGCAGCCAGTGGCTGTATCCTAGCATTAGCAGCAGCAAGAAATCACAGCAGGTAAAGCAGAATTTTCAGATGAGCAGCAGAAGGTATGAGGTGTCTTCTGGATTCAACAATGTAATTTTTTAAGAGTGTCTTCATATGACACAGAATGCAGCTCAGTACCAATTTATGGTAATTTGGTAAAACCCTGAGGAAGTCCCTGTGCTGAAAGGTGTTGGTGAAGAAGCAACATTTGTACAGTTAGTGTTGCTGAGTTGTTTGTAATAATACTTGAGTAATTATGAAAACAATATGGAAAACTCATGGCTGCAATATGGTCTGGAATCATTAACTATGATATCATAAATAACTTGTAAATATATTATTATTTAAAATTATGCAAATCTGGACTTGGGTAAATAGCAGAAAACGGATAGATAGACTGATCATTGAAAACAGCCATTTAAGTTTTGTCAAATTCAATATTTTCCCATTCTGAGACCATGACAGTCCTGAATGCTGTAGCAATGACTGTAAAACACCACAAAACAGCCTGCATGTACAGTACTCTGCAGAAAACACTTCTTTGTTCATAGGTGTGTAACATCTTACTGCAGTTCAACATCTGATAAAAGTGTTAAGGTTAGTGTCACAGTATTACTGTAGTGTTTCTGTCATATCTAAATTCTAAAACAGATCACAGGTCCACCTCTGTTTATTGTCATATAGGTGAACATTCTATGTGTTTTCAGTGTGAGACCTTGAAAATTGAAACAAGTAATTCAAAGGAACCACACATAAGCTGCTGTCGGTTTGTGCATCAAAGAAGCAAAGAACTTACGGGACACGGTCCAGGGTTTGATGCAGGTAATCTTGGCGCTGGTGACGTGTGCATGGACATGTGCAGGTTCACTGGTGTTTTCCAGCAGGTTCCACACCTCAATACTGCCATCGTCTTTCCCAATGAAGAAAACGGCTGGTCGGGACAGGGACCAGCATCCAACGGTGCACTTCTGCTCAGAACTTGGTGACACGACAATGGGGCCCTCCTGGATGTTGTAGTTTATAAAAAGTTTAAAATGTATTAAACTAGATGTGTCATAATGAATTAAAACAATATTAAAGGTCAGGGTTGGATTTTCTAATTTTGCATGTTCATTCATTTGTATTTTGACAGAATCATCTTCATATGAATTTAGTTCAGTTTTGTGCATTGAATGTAGTTACTCAATATAAATTAGCTGCAGCGCTCAGCATTGTTATCAAGAAATCACATTATCTAATTTGTCTTTATTTAATAAAGGTAGACTACACATGGGTTATGCTCAGTAAAAGTTGTTCTCTTGTTTTCAGTGTTTTTTCTCTCTGACAGTAGTCGCTGAAGTGATGAGTGTTGTTACCATGACATCCTCCTTCCAAATGGCAAAGTTCCAGCCTCCTGTCATCAAGATAATGTCTCTGAAGAAGGGCGATCGCTGTATTGTGTTCACAAACCAGTGATGCATTCTAAAACAGAGGAGGGGTTTGGCAACTGGGAGAGAAGCAAGACAGAAAGAGCAAATGCGCTTTTTATTTGACAGCATTTTGCTTTCAAGGCAATCACAATGCATCTAAAATAGCAATTAACCCTCTGTGTCCCTGCAAACCTAGTGAGTAATTCATAATGGTAATTACATTCAGCCTGGCTGCCAAAGCCAAGAGTTGATTTACTGTTTATGGCAGTTATTAAAATCATTTCAATAAATTGGACATAATTGTTTTATGATTCCACCCATTGCTGTCAGCGACTGCTGGAGAACAGTCAAGAATACAGCGTTTATGTTCCTTTAAACACACTTGGATTATAGCGAGCCAGACTACTCACTGTACTGTCCAGAGCCCTCTTTCTCCAGTTTCCAGTCAGTGAAAACAATCTCCCCATCCTGCCAGTAAAGAAACATAAACAAAACCACATTATAGAACTTTAAGGTGAAACCTTAGTATTGTTGTACATTTAAAGACATGATTCTGAAGATGGTGGCTGAAAAGCTAATTAAGCCTAATGACAAAAAAGGGCAGTTTGATGCTGGACTTAACCATAATAAAACTTATTGAAGCAGTTGAGTGTTATACAAAAGTAAAACATTGCTCTATTGACTTTCTAGGCAGAAATGTTTACCTCCGTTCCAATACAGAGCTTGGTAATGGCGTCTTCCAGAGCTGGAGGTGTTTTGGCTGAGGGAGCTCTGAGCTGGCTGTAGTCTGGGAGGTCCTCTGTGCCATCGTTTTCCTTAGCTTTTTCTGAGAGAGTGCATGATGTGTGGCAGAAAGTCAGAAAAGGTTAGAGGTCCAATTCATACTTCTTTATTTACCATTCATGGGCCATTTTCAGCTGTCAGGCAAGGATATTTTTAGGGCTTTTTATTTGGGACAATATGTTGACAATGCACTGTAGAAAACTCCTTAAGACAATAATCTTTTCCAGCCTTATTACAACATTTACTTAAAGTCCTAAAAGCACTTGTTATTAGTCTCATATCTTGCTTTCACACAGCTATTTGAAGTCTTCTTAGCAAACAATTCCTCAAAAATTCAGGTAAACAAAGGACAACTCATGATGAGGGAAGAATGACTGGCAAGAATTGGGCAAATACTAGTTTCCTAAAATTAAAGGAAGACAACAAATAAAAAATGTCTACTTTATTTTTTTTGAAATAAGGAAATAATTAACTAAGTGGATGGGTGCAGCCTGCTCTGTAATCTGACCATGAACAAGATGACAGAAGGACAAAAGGAAGGGAGGTGGGGAGGGGCACAGATGAGGTGAATGGGTAAGAGGGGATATGAGGAGAGAGGTAAAGAAAGGCATAGGAGGTAGAGGTGGGAGCGAGGGCTGTGAAGAAAACAGGGACAGAAGGGGAAAGGTGGAAGGGCTGAGACAGGTTGGGCTGGTAGGAGCGTTTTCCATCACAAAAGCCCAACTGTCTGTCAGGGACAGTGCAGGTCTATCTGTTCACAGCCCCCTACCAGCGGGCCGCTCCCAATCAAGTCCCACTCTGTTAGATTAGCTCTTGAAGGTCAGATCAGATTACCCAATCACACCTCCTCTAAATCCACTTTCCCCCAGTTGAGATGTGTGTAAAGATATGAGACAGACGATACAGCTCAGCTACAGACATTGTTTCACCTTTACCACATTGCACTGCTGCTCAGTTGTTGCTTAATCCCCACAAGGGGTTCTCACAATCACTTAACGTGATGTGGAAAACCATGTGGCACTGTTACAGGGCAAAGTGGAGCTTCTTTTTCACAGTGCCTACTTCCATAAATAATGAATCCAACATTAAATATTACAAAAGGCACAGAGCAAAAAGATCAGCAGCAGGCAGCGAAGAGTGTTTCATCAATATGAGTTAAACAACTTACGTAGCACCAAAGTATTAATCACACAGGGATTCATTAAAGCCTTAATAACAGACTGCCTGAGGGCCGCTGAAAAAAAGCAGCAGATTTATTGCCTCAGTTAGTGAGCATATTAATTCGATAACTGCCAGCCACCAAAGCTGTGTTTATAGAGGCAGACCTTCAGCCAGACAAAGACACGTCTCTTCTTGACCAGCCAGGACACACACGATCATCTTCTGGCCCTCAAGGAGTCTGAGCAGCATATTGCAAAGAGCTGACAGTCAGCAAGGCCAATGCTCCGCAACTATGAGGGCCTTGTTTTGGAAGTATCACTTAATAAAGTGCTATGAAACTGGAGAAAGAAGAGGGAGACAGAGAAAGAGAAGGAGAGTACCTGAGGGCCATATAAACCCTGCCCCACTCATCACTGTGCTCAGCCATCCAGAGCAGAATTCAAGAATCCAAAACCCCCAAAACGTAGAGCTGCAGTCATGCACACACTCTGATGACTATCAGACCTGAGATAGATGTTTTTGATGTTTATAGTTTGGTCTCCTAACGTGCACCAGTTTTTCCAGATATTAAATGAACTGTTGTGTAGCTTCAAAAACAGAATCTTACTTATAAGATATAGAATCCATAGAAAAAAACAGAAAACTTTAGCTACACATTGAGAAGCCACCTAGAGTCAAGAAAAGTAGTACCTCTGGCAATTTGAAACCTGGGCCACCTGCAGGTAAAGAGTGCTACAACTGCCGCTTTTTTTGTTTTACATTTTGGACTTTCACTCTGAGATTTTTCTTAGTAGGTTCTTTATCCAGAATGTTATGTGTAAAACAGAGACAATGACTAAACTGCTATCTCTTCCAGACAATCTCCTTGGGCTGAAAGAGAGTGTGAGTAAGTTATAAGCCAGCTTCATGAGGTGCTTAGCATCAAACAATAAAACCACAAACTATTTGCTGTACACATTATTGTCATTATGTAAAGTTCATTTGTGTAACTGATTGCAGGAGAATGGAGAGAAAGTACAGCAGACAGAAACAAAAAACAAAAACTGTGGCAGCCTTGAGGGTAAATCTCTCACCTGAGTTCCTCCCTGTATTGCTATTAGAGGTGTAATGTTCTAGGCTGAACTTCAATGGAGCATATTCTCCACTAGTATTGATCTTTGGCACGGAAACCTGACAGACAACAGAGAAGAAAACACGTTTTGATGTTTGAAAAACCGAAAGACATTTAACATTATTTAAATCAAATCATTAACTGTACACACTACAAAAAACAAGAACTGAGCCCCATTTAAATACATAAAAATAAAGGCATAAATACAAAATGCAGAAAGCTTTTTAATTTAGTGGGAAATAATGTCACAATCACACTGGGGTTTTGCTAATTAGCACTGTAGGCTGTCAGCCAAACTCAAAGACTTAGTCTTTCACAAAACCTGTTCTGCAAAACCCTTTTTGATATTTAATTTCATTGCATAATTGGTTGTGTTAAAATCAGAACCACAAGGGAAGTAGAGCAGCTAATCTTAATGTTTTCTTCTAAAAATATTTGTGGAAATCATGCTGCTCAGTTAGAGGGACGAAGCCTCTGGTTACTCTTGTTTTATATGAAAATTAAAACTCAAAAAGGCATGCAAGTGTATCTATAAATCTGCATAAATCCATTTTGATAATCATCTAATTTAAATTCGCCATGACAGGTGATGACCAAAGTTGCTCACTTGTATTAGAACATGTTCAAAGCTCTATCTGCAGGTAAAATCACTGCCAGGAAAAACAACAAACATGAAGCCATTTGATTTGCTGAGTCTGGTTTGATTGAGTTGTAGCTGGAGTTTTAGAGTTTAGAGTCAACAGATGCTATGGCTCTACACAAGTTTTGAACTTTGTATTGCAAACCCAAAACACTGCAGTACCCTCAGCAGTGGTTTCCATGTCCGGTCCAGGTGTTTGAAAGTTTCAGGGACGATGTAGGGTGTAATCGGTGTCTTCTGATCCACATTCTGCTGCCTGTCTGACAGTGATTGGTTCAGCGGTTTTGGAACTCGTACATCCCAGATCATTACAGTGCTTCAGAGGGAGACACAGACGGACAGAGTGGAACAAATTACACAAACCAGGAAATTAACAAACAAATGCAGTTTGCATAAGTTCATATTTGAAGACACAGACGCATGGTTTCTTCAAATGAAACAACAGCCAACACCTGACAATACAGTCAATGAGCAGTATTTTAGCACCGCTTTGCTATGTTTTAGCCCTTTCATTATCAGATATCTGAAATGTCCTTAGATTGGTATATTCATATCAATACTTCATAACTCAGCAGGGTTCCACAGACTACAGTAACACACAAATGCCTATGTACCGCTTTAATTAGCAACAACAATATCTGGTGTATTAACTGAGAGATGACAAAACATCACAGAAACTATTTTGCGGTTTAAACACAGAAGGCATGCCTCAAAAATGTTTTATCACGCTCACAGATGCTAAAAAAAAATCTGTATCAACAGTCCTGTAACATCTTACTATATACACTGCCTTATACACATAGCATACAGAATACGTGACCGGAGTTCTCTAAGATGTTTCTGTGACAGACACTATGATTCCTAGTAAACCACAGAGACACACTGGGTCTGGTGGGATCTGTAATCTGGTTGAAAAAAGACAATATTCTCACTGACTGCACAGCTCCTCCATATCGAACTGACACAGAAGATTCAGCCAGGGGAGGATGAGTTAGATTACAGTGTGGGTTTCAACCAGTGTGATGTTGTTTTTGTTTATGATGCTATCTATCTACTGAAATGTTGTGGCAGAAGTTAGTTGAGCGTCACAGTAACTGACGGTGGCCATCGTTCAGCAGTGGAAAGTAAACTGTCAGCATTACAATTTTGAGGAACTACTCTATTGGATTATTTTAATTTTTTGCTGCGCCTTGTTTTCACTCCACTACAATCCAAAGGCAAATATTATTATTTTTAATAAGAAATGTACTTTGTACTCCACTAGTTTTTTTACTACTTCAGTTGCTGTGCAGATTCTGAATGATACAGAATATAATTAACAAAAAATTAGGATGCATCCCTCTAGCTTAAGATCTAATATGTCTTTACTGATACACAGAAGCTGCAAACATTAAAGTGGCATTCCCTTTAATCCATCAGTAATCATAATCCAGTAAGATCATTTTTTTAAACTACTACTACTGCTTAATATTTCTACTTTTTGCCCTTGCAATGGAGCATTTTTAAACTGTAGTAATGGTACTACCTATTAAAAGATCTGTGTACCTTTTTCCATCCATGTGCAGTGGTGCAACAAAATCAGTCAAACATAATAACCTAAGAAATGATCGCATTTGATAAATACTACAGGATTACAGGAAACAATGGCAGTGAGAGAGGGAGCGAGGTGTATAGTATGCAACAAAGGTCTCTTGGCCAGGAGTCAAACTGTATTTGCTGTAAGGATTATAGGCCACCAGAAGTCCCTTGTTTACCTATGTGTCATTAATTCTGGCGTTTACAATGGGTATACGCACAGCAGATCGTAAAATGTGCCTTTGTGGGTTAAATAACAGTCGCAGATCTTTTCGTGAGCCAGCAGCTGCACCAACACGCACTCACACTTACACCAACACCAATAGCACAATAGCTTGTGTCTGTATCTAGTAAGGACAACTGACATTATAATAGAAGCAATCACTGATAATTTCCCAGAAAGACAACAAGGGAACAGTAAGAAAGAATATACAGACAGAGTGGAGAGGCAAGTCAAAATCTACCACATCACTTGGTTATCGTAGCCATGAACTGATGACTTTTTATGCATTTAACATTCAAATCGAGCATTTTGTATATAAGGCCTACCAGTCAGGGGAGCAGGTGACGACCTGAACAGAAACGTTGTACATGTTCTCCACCAGTACACCCTTCCTGGTCACCTAATCAGAAAGAGAGAGTTACAAAACCAACAAATGTCAACATCAGGCTTAGTATTATAAAGAGCTGATAGGAGTGAATGGGGTTACTCAAGATATATGGGTGGTTAATGTTTCCCCTGTGGCCACTCTGATGATTGCCTTATTTTACTTATCCAGATGAGTGCAAGTGGTTGAAATGATTTATCACAGCTGGCTATATCGAGATGAGGGATGGGCACCAACGGAAAACCAGAATTGTTCTGTGGACTGAAGTAATTTATTGAACCTGTGTAAAGCCATCGTTTTTTTTTTTTTTGGTTTTGTTTTTTTGTTTTGTTTTATTGGATATGGATAGTTCTATGGCTGCTAGCTTTTCTGTACATACTTATTACTGGATTTGTTTGCGGTTGGTAACAGACTAAATACCATAGAGTCATTACAGCATGTATCATTTCAGATCAATAGATTTTTTTTAGATGTCTTTCTTGTTGGCTACATCACTGTTAGAGGACAATAGTTGTACCAAAAAACAGGAAAGTCTGCCTGTATAAAAAAACAACAACAATTATGTCTTGAGGCTATGATACATTAGGCAACATTTTTTAGCAGTGGAGTTATGTTTCTAGTCATACCTTTGCGTTATAACCAACTGTAACTGTGGTGTTTGTTATCTCCACCACAGCACTCCATATAACCTTCTCTTTCAATGTGCCTTTCTGCTGAATATTCTAATTCCTATAATCAAAGCCTTACAACCATAGTCTTTTCTGTCCTTTGACTACAACCCTGTGCCCACAAATGTCTTACATCCTGTTAAACTTGTGTTTAACATATTAGTCACATACACAACACTCTGTCAGTGTTCCAAAACTGGACAGACAAATCCTTATGTCAATACCTGCCTGACCTTTAAGTGGTTAATGTTTTAGTGTCTAATTTGAGACTTACATGAGAAGGATTAAAGTGTACTCTTGTTGGCTGTGGTATGTTAAACTGCACCACGGTGTTTACATTAGATACGATAAAGGAAGCGTGTGATTAAGAAACATTAAAAAATGCTTGACTGAAACCATTGCTATGCAGTCACACAAAAGCACCTTTTATCAAGAGGTCAAATGAAATACCAGTAACCTTGTAAAAGCTTGTAGTGTACGCTGAAACACCCTTGACGGGGGGAAAAAAAATCAAGAAACAACTCTCTACATGATCAGTGCTCTGCCTATTTGGAGTAAGACGTGCAGTTGTTAATTCCCTCCAACCCCTTCTGCCCTTCAGCCTCACGTACCTCAAATGTTTGTGGCAGCCACTGGACATCAGTAATTGGGGCTTTGTGCCTGCTTTCCAAGGCAGACACTGCACAGTAGCGCACGACTGGAGTCTTACTCCCCTTATTGTCATCAAGGTCCTGGTGGGAGAGCAGACACAAAAGAGGCACCAAGTATTGTACAGTGAGCTCTGACAAATCAATCTAATTACAAAGGCTGTACACAGCTGACCAGCCATCCCAAAATATTCAAACACACAAAACTCTAAAAGCAGTTATTTTAATCTTAAATCATGAAAATGAGGCATAACAAAAGATTTTTCTCCTTCACTTTATGTGAGAGTGCTGCTGTCATGTGTGCATGGAAAATCAAACACCCATAGGTAGCCATGGTTACATATATCATGGCACACTAAATACAAGTACAGACACTAACAATGACAAAAAATACAGACACTTTATTTAAGTTAGATTACCAGTTTAAAAAAAATTTGCTCATGCTGCATGCTACCTCTGAGTGTGCATACATCTACTAGCTTGGTTGTACACTGCACCTGCAGCTGGATTTATTATGTACAACGAAACGAACAAAACACTAATCTATACAGAAGAGTTTAATTCTTCGTTTATCTGATAAGCCAGTAACAGGTGCTGGTGCAGTGCAGTTTTCACAGCAGCAAACATCCAAACAGAGCCTTTTAGCAGATACAACTGCCATTGTTTGCACTGCAAACAGCAGGGAGGGCAGTGATCTGATTTGCCTGAGTGTTATCATCTGCGTGGAAACAAACTACGGTGGTAGATGAAGACTTGTGTAACAGCTGGCGTATGTGAGCGGATGCTGTTGACTCTGGGGAATAAAAAGCAAACAAGGACAAAGAGAATAGAGGGAGGTACAGAGGGTGGGAGAGGGGAAGCAAAAGAGGAAGAAGTAGTGAGGAGAAGGATAGAGACAGCTGTTCCACTGTAGAGGCAATAAAAACACACAAAGCAAATGTGGGCTAGATGATGGGGGCATATGTGTCTATTTAAATCCAGCAGGCGGGTGGAGGATGTCGGTGCAGGTCAGGCTTTAAAGCACAAAACGGCTTTAATATCTGGTGTCTGGATGTCTCAACAGGCCATAGTGGTTTTATTGTACTTGCTATGTTGTGGGTTTAAATCTAAACCCTGTTTTTGTCAAGTATCATTACCTCAACCAGATTAGCCATGAAAATATTAGTCCACTATGATGTTAAGCCAAAAGAGAAAATCTCTTTGAAAGTTCAGCGTTCAGTCAAGAGGCTTTCATTTACTTAGATCACTTCAGTCAAACTGGGTTGTATGAAGTCTTACAGGCTGCTTCTATTTGGCAGTGGGGTTGTGCAGTGATACAAACTTGCTCAGAGAGTTAATCCTGGTATTAGTACATCTGTGGAGCTAGTTCTGGCTGCCTGGAAAAGTACCATTAGGCCACTGCATTCCCAGCTAATGAAAGAGTGAGGACGAGGAGAGAACTCAGAAGTCAACATATCATCATCTCACTCTGTCATACAACACCACTACAGCCTGTCTTTACAGCAGATACGCTGCATGCTTTGATAAACTGAGGACCCATACTTGAATAAAACAAACTGACAACTTCACTAGCTTAAAAACTGCCAATATCAACTGTAATACACCAACACAGGCACAGAACAAAATATTATTGCATCAACATTGTGCGCATTAAAGACAGGATAGGGGTACTTACGAATGTGTCAGTGGTGGCCTTTTTATCACCAGGCTGTGTTCCCTGTAAGTGTGTGATGTAAGCAGAAATGTCCCACAACACAACCTGAGACATAAGCAACATAAAATCAGTAAGTGGCGGTCAACATCTGAGCCTGGTGCTGTATATAACACACTTTCAAATCTACTCGATCAAATGTTTAGAAAAGAATAAGTGCAGAAATTAGAGAGGAGAATAGCATGTGATATTCATTTTTTATATTTATCTCTTACGGTTTTATATTGAAACATAAAGAAGGCATGGGAGAAGAAACGGATTATTGAGAAGGCAGTGAAGTCCAAAAGGCAGTAAAGTAAAGCTACAGAGCCAAAAATGAGCACCTGGCCATTCACGCAGCCGCCAACAATAATGTTTGGATTAGATGGGCAGAACTCAAAGGCAAGAATGTCATCTGGGCACTCCAGCAGCAACTGCAAAAAAAAAAAAAAAGCACATATACACAGGCTATAAATATCACATTTCAAAGTAAAAAATTTCCATGTATTGGGTACTTGCCATCCCAAGTATTATATTTATTCTAGACTCCCCATACACTGTTCTACTTTTAATTCACAAAACCATGTGCATACAGTAGATTCCATTTCATCATGCACAAGACGAAAGGGATTCAGGAGCTGCAAGATGACAGTATAGAGCAGTACATTTTTCTGCCTTATGTTTAAATTTGCTCAAATCCATAATAAGCTACATTATTGGATTGCTCATTATATGTATTTCATGTCTCTGCTAATCTGCACAGTACATTTCGCTACTTTAAGCAGTGCTCCAGCAAACAGCGAAACCAAGGCTTGGCACATGTACCAGTGAATATATACATCGTGCAGAACTCATATTACTTTTGAGTGATTTAGCAGCTCAGCTTTATTGATTGAAAGCCTAGGTCAAATCAATAGAGTGTCTCAAATTTTCCGATGGCAAATAATCGTCTTGAATGACAGCAAAGAGCACATTCTGCCTGCTGTTTTTTTTTTTTTTTTAGAAAAGTGTGTTTCAAGCAGAGATGAGGTGAGCTGTCAATGAAAAGAGGAAATTTGTTTTTTTCCCTTTTCATTCAATGCAGTGCTCTCATTTACTTCTCATACCTGAGCATTAGCGGGGTCAGAGAAGCTGTAGAAAACAATAAAAGCATGTCTGACGGTCATCGTAGTGGACTCGTCCAACTGCATCTTCTTTTTGTCTGTCAAAGCCACTGCGATCACACCTGCCACGTCAAAGAACACATCACACAACGTATCCACTGTACAGCAGCAAGAAAATAAATCGTAAATATGCTTAAAAAGTCTTGTTTTTTTTTGTTTTTGTTTTTTTTGGAAATTGGTGAATCAACTTTAGTGCCTACTTTACATACATGAAAGAATAACATATTTAGACTGATCAAATGCTTTGAGACTGATATTCTGGTTTGTGCTGAAAGTCTGCTCTTAAAATACTGACACTAATCACTGTCACTATTTTAGGTCCATTTATTTCAAATATTGTCCCTCAACATTATCTTTGTCAACATATTTAAGCTAAATGGTGTTATAAATGCTTAAAAACACAAAACGCTGATGAACACTGCTTCCAAGCCCCAGCGTCATCTGTGCAAGATCCTAATAGTGACCTAACGTCTTCTGTACAGAGAACTGAAACAGAACTGACGATGCTGGTTTTAAAGTGTTAGGCTAGTGCTGTGAAGAGTTTTTGGAAAGATTATTACGAGTCAATTTCTGATAAACAGCTCTGTTCCCTAAGACTTTTCACTTTACCGAGGATGGTAGGGTGCCAGTTAACACTGCTGACTTTCTTGTCCTTCGTGTACTTCTGGTCTGTGAAGGCATGATGAAGCATCAAATCTTCAGAAACCTTTGAGTCACCAGCTTCAGCTAATGTCCCCAAAGCCTTCCAGTCATCCAAGAGCATATTCAAAATCTCTTCCTGCTGGAGGGCATGTAAGACCCTGCAAACCAATCAACATCCCGGTCAGACTTCTAGAAGCACATCATTTTTTAATTTCCTCAATTGTGTCTCTCCATAGGTACAGCTACACCAAGTACTTCTGCTACTGCTCATAATGTTCTCTTATCTTATCTCTTACCTGGACAAAGAGGGCCACAAAACTGGATATATTGGGGCCTTGGAGTGTGAGAATACTAAGTATCCTTACTAAGTAGCTTTTGTCCTAAACAACTTGGGCAGTGAAAGTACTGATGACAGCAAAGAATGAAGTACGCTCAGAAAGTAAGGGGGGTCCACAAGTGTCCTAAAATACTTTCATGATATTCTTTGCAAATATTCTAGTGTTCCAACGATGGCAACAATATTTCCTGGCTGATACAGTAATGTGTGAGTAAACCTCTATAATATCTACAATAAATATTACCTTGTAAAACAGATGCAAGAGACACAATGAAACACCAAAATAGTTCAATTTACCTGGAGGTTGCTGAGCTGAGAAAATTCATCAGACTCTCAGACTGGAGGATGCTGTTAATTTCCTCCTCATGTAACTCTTGTGGATAGTACTGGGTACAGACATTCTTGTGAAACTTCCTGAAAAAGGGGCACAAGGTACTCAATACAAAACATTTATGGGTATGAAGGTATTATTAACAACAATTATAGAAAAGAATGGCATACATGCAATGGATGTGTGTTTATTATATGGTTATATAATCTGTTCACCTACATATAGGGCATGTAGAGATGGAGAGCTGAAAATATGTCTAAAAGTAAATTAATCTTGAATTTTCTTTGATTTGAAACAGGTAAAATCTTTTCACTAGACTTGCACAACCTCTCAGTGTTTTACCCCCTGTAAAACAAATCTGTTTTATGTGTACTGAATTGCTGGCATACCACTGCGTCTGGGCACTGCTGCTCTGCAGCCTAGGAACAGCCTGCATCCCGCAGTCCCTCTGCATCTGCTTGATGCTGAATCTGCTGTCTTTGTAGGAAGCACACTCCACACAGCTATCCTTAGCATCTGCAGCGTTGAGGTCAGAAAAACAGACTGGCCTCCCAAACTTCTTCCGCATTCTGGAGAACTTATAACATACCTGACGATGACAAAGGAACAGAATAGAGAGGTGCAATTAAAACAAGATGTACTGAGACAAAAATCTGTCTAGATATACAGATTTAATGTGTTTTTTATATACTGCAGTGCCTTTTTTCTGGTCTCTGTGACAGATTCGTCATCTATTTCCTGCTCACTGCCAAAAGATATCCAGTGCTTTGGATGTGGGGTTTCACTGACTTCATTCTCAAATACTTCTGGTGTTTCCGGCTCTGGGGGCTGCAGAACACAGACAGAATTACAAGAATACACAGCATAAAAGGTTAGAGGATGATGAGAAGATGAAACCCAATGATATTATTTGCTACAGTAAGATAGTGAAGTACCTTTTAAAGTCTTTTATTTCACATTAAAACGTGCCTGTTAGTAAAGAATCCTAATATATGACCTCTAATGCTAGTCGTTACTTTTGACAGTAAGTGCTACAACAATATACCTACTGCTAATATAAACAGTAGAAAACATTTCTGATGACAGTTTTGATAACCAGAATATTTTTTAACAGTTTACGTCTCAAATATGTTAGTGCTAAATGAAAAACATTTGTCAAACATGTATCTAGTAAAATGTCATTATGACACCCAATTTTAAACACAAGTCCTTGAGAGGGTCTTAGTATAAACAAAACCTGTGAAAAAAAACAAGTTAACCATGTTACCATCACCAAAACTTCTGTCTGCTTACACTTAATATTCTGTCCTTGGCTTCTGGTGTCACAACCAGGTAGAAGCTCTGACCATAAGTGAAGTCTCTGTCAAAAACCAGCAAGATCTCTTCCTCCGGATAGTCCTGCCAGATAAAAGCATTTGGCATTGACAGCACTTGTTCATGGATCGAATGAATTCAGTTTTCATGACAAAGACAAAATAAATGCAGGATATTTCTTGTTGATTCTGGCTGCCACAAAGAAACTTTCCACAGCAATAATGTGTTTCAGATAGTGGATGATGGAGTGAGATGTGGATTTAAGACAAAATTATTAATGTTTGTGGTTTTAAAAAGACAGAAAAAGACAGACAACCACACAAACATGTCTATAGCCGAGGCTGGGCTTTGGTTGTGCAAGAGAAGCTGGCATTACTTAGGGCTCATAACTGATGAGTCTGTATGGGTCCCTTAAGGGCTCTCTGGTCTCATTAGACTAATGTGCTGTAATAGACGGAGCATGAATGCATAAAATAAGAGTAGTGTTTACCATATGTTTAGTCTAGATCAGACAGGGGGAAAATTAGGTTAAACTGGTTGTTCTGTCTGTTCCCACAGCCTCTAACTTGGGTCTGGACATCATCACACTGTCTTTAAGGTATTGTCTGAGTGATCTGCAACCACAATGGATCAGCCATACCAGCACAATCTGCTTCACAGGGCTGAAATCGGACACTGCTGCTCTTGTCTTAATGTCGTGTATGATGTCGTCTTTTTTCAGCAGCTTGTGCGGGCTCTCCACTGTGACATCCTCATCAGTGCGGCAACCAAAGAGCTCCTGAGTGGCTGATGTGAGGACCAGGGGGAAGACATCATCAGGGTGACCTTGATGAGAGAGTTTACAATCAATTTAGTGAGGAAAGACAATATACTTAGGAAGCTATATATTTCAAAAACCTGGATTTAAACCCCATATGTTTAGGCATACAGTAAGGACATTAGATTCCAAATCACAAACTGCTTTTAGATTTTATTTGTAACCGGACAGAGCATTCAATGCATCAGATTTAACCAGCATTGCTAATGGTATTCTAAAACTTGAGAAAAAAAATTAAAATGGGCTTACCAGGAGAATAATTACACATGTTAAGGGAATATAGACAAACCAATATTGTTCTCATAAAGAAACAGCCTGTAACAGACAATCTAACAGCAAGAAGCTCCTTATTAAAACAATGTAAACAATCAGTTGAAGAGACTGTAGTGGATATACCCAGAAACACGGCTTGTATGAACTTTACTGAACAAAATATTTGAGATTTTCTTTCGCCCTGTCTACTGGCTATACATTCTGCTTGTGCTTCTGACTGTACAACATAAACTACAGTCATCATCCGTGCGTTAAATAAGACGCGTTTCTCAAATCAAATTTCAAAAGAATCATGTGACAATAACTGTCACCTGAATTTTAAATGAGCATTTTCCTATCATGTTCTTCTTCCTCGACACAATGCAATGGCACACTGTTTTATGTAATTAGAGAAAAGCCAAGAGGTTAAAAATATACAACACAGTTTAAGTAGTTGGGTTGGAGAGAAAGGATTGCAGACTGAAAGATAAATAGATGACGCTATGTTCAAAACAGACACAAGAGTGGTGAGTGAGGCTGTAGAGATGCCACAACTAAGAGTGTAAACCCTCAGTTATCAAGGAGTCAGCTAACCTAAAGACTTTGACACAGATTCCTGCCCCTGCTTTTCTGATCAAACACACAACAACGCCTCTGATCCTTCACCTGCCCCTCCCTGGAGGCTCGACCACCCCACAATATCACAGGATGAAATGCAATCCCTGTGAATAGACAACATGCAAAGTCCAGCCACTATAGGGAGAATGAAGTTCTCCTACTCTGGTATGTGAGAGAAAGATCAATAATGCACCAATTCAGGATATAGATTGCAGTTACAGACATCTAGCCAAGGACTGTTACTATATAAAGCACCATCACCACAACAGAGTTTTTCTTAATAAACAATCTATGTAGGCTCCGCCATATCTAAGGCCAGGCTCAGTCCAGGGCACACTACTGTAAACAGGGCTCTACATAATGATAGTTTTCATCCTGCTTGTGGTCTCTCTCTTCAAAGTCTTTCCACAAGGTTGCTGAGGGGACGCTGGGAATGCTCAAGTACAGCTTAAGTAACCACTTCCCAGCTGGGTGTGTCAACCCTTTCCACTCACACCACTTAGGCCTCACGCCAAATCATTGTAGTGGAAACTCACACCCTTCATTTCACAGAGTTATGTGTCAACTATGGCATTTGTATTCATGGGAAATATTTGCTTGGGAGACAAAGAGAGTGCGATGTGCAATGTTCCATATCCCTCAAGAATGCAATTAAAGTGCATTTGTAGGCTGCGCCAAAAAAAGATATTTTAAATTTGTCTTTCTTCTTGCATAATTCACACAAGGCTAGCATTCCCTGACAGCATATTGTAAGATATTTATACTATACCACAGTACATCATCATTTTGGCACTGTTTTTTTTTCCATTTCTGGTGATAATAATGAAGAATTTATGCCCAAACACTAGGCATTTATTAGCAGATCACTAATGCTCTTAAGCGGTCTCAGGACCTACCTTCAAAAGTGAAGAAGAAAAATTGACGTTTTTATTTTCATACGTATACCACTATGTTGTCATTGTCACTAGATGAAGACTATTGTGCCATTTTGGGACAAAATGTTGGTCCCCACAGGGTAAACCATTCAATTTTAGGGTCAAGACATGACTTTGAGTTATGTTTACAGCCTGGGTTGGATTATGGTCAGGGTCTCCACGTAATATAACAATATATAACAAAAATAAACCTACGTAGGATGTGTTCAAGACTTGGACTTATACTGCGGGGTGTATAAGTTAAAATGGATAAAAATTAACAAATAAATGCACAAAACAGAGCAAATCTGACCCCAAGGACTCTTTAAACCATTTTTTATAACTCCTACAAAATACAATGATCTAATTTATAGTAAAAATATACACTGCTGGTGACCTGCATTTGACCAAAAGCATGTTTTCAGGGTTGGTATGTTGAATGTAAACCAAACCTTGACAATGGGGACCCACAGCTGAGTTGAAAGCATGTCCAAGGGCAATGCAACAGTACACTCAAGATCACATTGGAACAATGTCTACAGTTTTTCTGATTCCTCAAAGATAGCGCTTTTTAGTTTCAGCAATCTCTGTCTATTACTTCTTTAAAGTAATATTTTTTTTTTTTTTTTTTTTTTAATTAAGTGTCCACAATTTTTAAATGAATCCGAACATGGTTTATATACAGTAGATTTTCTAAAGAAAAACAACTAGCAAATAAATAAAGGCATTGAAGTCCAGTGGAATTTTCATATATCAGTATTGGTAATAGTAAATTTAGTTTAATAAAAATGTCAACTGTATTTAAAAGCAAGTAAAAAATGTTCAGAACTCCTACTAACATCGTTTAAGATATTTAAAATTAGTTTCATTTACCTCAGTGTATCCACCTGTTTTACAGCTTCAGTGAAACTGACGGATAAAATACTTGATTTTAAAATAAAATGTTAATGTGCTAACGTAAATACTAAAGTAACGACACATCTTTATAGTTTCTTTACTAAAAAAAATACAAGGTTCTTACCAGGCTTTTCCTGAGGTGTAGGTGACCGAGTCTTCTTGACTAAACAGGAAGTTAAAGTCAGTTCACTTTTTTGTTTACATCTGTCTGTAGAGATCTTCCTAAAGCAGTCATGAATGCGTTTACATAGATTACGACAAGATTCAAACACTCACTTTTACCTTTCCCCTTACTGCCAGTACTGCTCCTTCCACTTGTTGGTTTCTTAGGTGCCATTGTTGCTCTTGGGATTGTTTCATTAATGAAAAGGAGAAAGTTGACATACAAATTCTCTGCAAACAACATGGGTACATTCAGTTATCCAAAGCTATAAAAATAAACATGTTGTCTCCACATTTTTATTTCTTAATGTAACAACTGTCATTGGGGCTCAAACTCAAACAAAAGCCAGACACAAGAGCGCCTTGCAACAGTGCCTCTGTCTTTATTAATGCATGTGGCGACATCTTGTGGTATAGAAGACAATTGTACTTATTTTGCAAGCGATGGTGAAGTAAAAAAGTCTAACAAAATTCACTTAAGTTTTAAATATTTTTACAGTGTGCTCTAATTTCTACTTGCCAAAGTTATTACTATTCATAGAGCATGTTAGTTGAATTCACACCCAAAAATACCTTTAGCAGTTAGAGTCTAGCATTCAAAGTATTAAAATTTCTAATAGATTTTCTGAAAATATATTATGGAATTGTATGAAATGTAAGCATTCTTCTGAAAGATAGCTGCACTGAGAGTATAATTAAATATTACTTTATTTGATTATAACTAATGTAATAAAATATGAGCACTATTTCATGTTTCTGGTCTTGGCAACTGAAATCTAAATTATAATACAAATTTTATCCAGCGTTGGACACTTACGTACAAGTAAAAATACTTGCATATAATATTACATTGCAACATTTAAAATGTTAATTAAATATCAGCAAAATCTACCTGAAGCTTTAAAAGTATAACTGTTTGTATTTCAAAGTGTGACATTATCTATATAACCATGATTAATGCATTACGATTATAAATAATGTATGTGTGAGTGACTTCAGTATTGTAGCTACTCAGTGTGGAGTGAATTTTTTTTACCACTTTATACATTATTGGATAATTTCACCTATAGATGTACCATGTCTTATACACCGATCACCCAGTATATTGTATTACATTATGCAGCATATTTCCTTCCGAAACAACGGATGGTTTAAGTATAAAGCACAATAAAATGGAAACTGTAAAGTAAATCATTGCTGGTCACTTAAAAAATACCTGTAGTTATCCTAACTTACAGCCTATGATACAACATTCAATTCAGCTGTTAATTTAAAAAAATGCAGACAAGTTGCAAACGTCTTATTTTTACGGTTTGTTTTGCTACACAAATTGAAACGATGTAAGCTAACATCACCCGGCTACATTAGCACAATTATCTGGCTAATTAGTAAGGCTAACGTTAATAAAGAAAAACATTGACGACAGAGCTCCACATTCGTACAGCTACTTGAACGGAACAAAGACAATTTATAGACGAATATATGCGTTTTACCGTCAGTTTAAACCATAGTAGCTTGAACTTCTCTTCACACTCGTCAATGGGAAAGTTTGGTTGCCCCTAGTTACAAGAGTAGCAGGGAGGAGGAAGGGGACGTTGACTGACAGGGACAAGAGCCAATCAGGTACCAGCAGTGCGATGACGTGTCCAAATATCTAAATTGTGTTGTGACAGTTTTGCCGGGCTTTTTCAAATGTCTGTTACTTTTCTTTCAAAAAGAATCAGAAACACACACATCTTCATTTTATTATTACAAAGATTGATTTATATTAAGTCGTTTATAAGAAAATAATATGGCCCATTTCTGCCAACTTCACTTTTACTACTACCACTACCACTGCTACTACTAATTATTATTATTACTATTAAGTCCAATGTAAAATCAAATGCAGAGTAAAAGATTTCTATTGTGGTTTTAATAATTCATACTTTGACACTTATGTACCTATGTGACATATATAAACAGTGTTTCATTACTGTATTCTGTGTTATGAAAACCATGAAACTACTATAAATTATTGCTGGCTGCTTAAACTGTACTTGTACTGTAACTGTACTTACCAGAAAACTTGAGTATATATGCAGGCATGTTACAAACGTCCAATATGGACTTGATTCACTGTTATTGTGACAAAGTAAGCAAAAAATATCTTGCTCATGCAACATTAGCATAATATCTAGCTCATTGATAAGGCTTACATTAATGAGAAAGACATATATATAGAGAGAGAGTTACTGTGACTTTGAAACAGTTCACAATTTAACAAAGTTACACAGAGACCCTTTAAGACAAAAACATTCTTGTCAAGGATCTACCATAAAAATATATTAACATTATTCTCCACTTGTCCTGATCATAGCTCCCTCATATTACCAACTTTCAAGATGTTAAACGACAGTTTGTTTATCACAAAGAATTATTTTCCATATAATAAGTGTTGAGTGAAAGTTATTATTATCACAGTCTGGAATATATCAGTGGTTATCGGCCACAATGACTGTGATACATTATTTTTGTGCAGTGCCAGATTAAAAATATGCTTAGGATTTTTAAGCCATATTAAATACTGATACTTTTACTGACCATAACCACCAAATATTTATTCATTGTCAGTATTAAAATCCTTTAAAGGTCAGTTTGTTTATATGATACCACTGTTGTTGTTTTTAAAAAACAAAAAACAAAAACAAAAACACAAAAAAATTATTGCTCAAATCATAAGTGGTAAGTGTTTTTTACTGTTATTATTATTATCATCACAGTCTGGAATATGGCAATGATTAGCAACAACATTGATTCTGCTGCATTATAATTTTTGTGGAGTATTTGATTTGAAAAAAACAAAACAAACAAAACTCTCACTTAGGTCGTCTTTAAAACATCTGCCATAGAAAACATTCTGCATTACTATTATTTTCCACTTTCACAGAATAGATATTTAAACCATCATCTATCCTGATCATCACTACCAAATATTTACTAATTTTTTAACCCTTTAAATGCCAGTTTGTTTTTATAATGCCACTGTTGTTTTTTAAATGAAAGAAAACAAAGACAATGAAATATTTTCCAAATAGCAGATGGTAACTGGCAGATTCTTTTTTAAATCACAGTCTGGGATATGTCAGTGGTTAACCACAACACTGACTCAGATAGATTATTCTTTATGCAGTCTCAGCTTTTTAATAAAACCTCACACATAGGATCTTAGAGAACAAGCTGTTCTAGTGCAGCATATGTTTTTTAGTTGTATATCTGTATGTTGTTTAGTTGCGTATCTTTAAGTGGAAAATTAAGTTGCTAAATAGTTGTGGCAAAATGCCTTAAATGTTTACTGTAATGCTCAATGTATTTACAAAACTTTTTCTGCTTTATGCTGTCAGTGTGGACCTTCGTGGTTGCTAAGGAAGCAGAGCTCCACCGGTTTGTTTAGATCTAGTGCTGCCACCCAGTGGATCAAAGGAGAACTGACACCAATCACTGGAGATGTGAAGATGTGCTTCTGTGACGAAATGTTTTAGAATAATGATCACAATAATAATGTTTAAAGAAATTACACATGCACACAGACACAGGTTGCCAAAAAACACAACCTCAGCATTAGAGAACAACCCACTCATGCACCGGGGCCTGGCAGCCCGCTCATCGATCAGACAAAGCACAATTATGCACGTGCGCAAAAATACTAAATGCAATCTAAAATTGTGATAAGATAGAACAAACACTTGTCTAGATCATCATGTTATATGAGTTAAAACAAGAAGAAAAAAAACATTTTTGAGATCATGTTAATGTACAATAGGGAGAAAGTTTTGTGATAGAAGATAAAGTGATGTGTTGATATGGCAACAAGGTTTAGCCCCCAAATAAATGGGTATCTCATAACAAAGAGAACATGTTGTAAAACTGCGAAAACACCTAGTTGTACCTTGATGTTAATCTAATACTTCCAGACATCTTTGTTAGTGTCTGTCTGTCTGTGTTGGTGTGTAACACTGTGACATCATAGTGCCATTACATTTGTGTGAACAGATAACTGAACACTCATCGTGAATACAAGAGACAGATTTGAGACTTGGATAAAATGAAAGTGACTGTTCATCAGTGGATGACATATCCAATACAATGGGGGACATGGTGAGAAATCTTAACTTTCAATCATACACACAGCTGCACACAAGGTGAGCTTATGTTTTTATCTCCATCTTTCCCTCCTGATGTAATACTTGATGTAATGTGTTGGATCAGCTGTTCGGGAGATGATAAAAGTTCATGTAGTTACACATCCTAAATGTATCAAGTGACGGGTTTATCTGCTGTTTGACTAATGCCAGGTTGAAGATTTAAGGCATGGTTGTTGAACAGTAGCATCAAGTACTATTACTGTTAATAGTTTGAATTTTACAGTGCAATCACAAGGATTTACTGGTGAGCAAAAGGTGCCTGGTTGCTAAATGCCGACTGTTCTTTAATTTAAATGTAGGAATCATATGCTACCAGGGCTAATTTCTGAACAAAGGGTGATCCTGCAGGTGAATGTTTGAATACGCTGTCCAGAGCAGGTCAGTTGCTAATGTGTGATTGTTTCTCTTTAACATGGAAAACTAGAGATATTCTATTGCTCATGAGCTCCTTTACCACAGCATAGTTTGTTCCTTGTGCATGGTGACAAGTTTGAAAGTTACTACACACCCATTCATGCATATTGGCAACCAAGCAAGAAATAACCATAATGCAAAGTTAATTGCAAGAAAGCTCATCCCTAATTTTAGGACTTCTAAAGCCGCGTCTTCAGTAAAAGGTCCATGCATGAAGAAAGAGGTGGTGACATCGGCTTGCACCTTGACAATATGGAGGGACGTTTTAAGACATGGAACTGTCTGGAATGAATTTTCTTTAGTCAAACTGTATTTAGCTGTGTTGTCTCTGCTGTGTTTTGTTAAGTTGGTTAAGCAAAAAACCAAATTAAAGTCAGTTTTTATTTTGAATCACGATCACTAAAAGAGGGGTTATAACAAATGCATTTTAAGTCCTTCTTTATATGCAGCCCTAACTTCCACAATAAAAGCATGCAAGCCCTATGTTTAATTTATCAAGGTATGTGTTCTCCAGACAGCAAAAACCTAGTGAAATTTTACATAACAGCAACTTCCCAAATTAAGTGGATGTCCTGATTGGCAAACCCACCTGCTTGAAGAAGGTGTGGGTCAACAGTTCAGATGCAAACAGTGTAAAGAAGACAAAAACAGAATCAGCACCAGCTTTAAAGTCTGTGTGTTTGTACATGATTGAAATAATCACTGATCAGTTGTCAGATACTGATTTGAAGACTGCAATGCCTCAGACTGGAAGAATCTCCGGAGAGTGGTGAGGACTGCAGTGAACATCATCGGAGCTGCACTTCCTCCCATCAAAGACGCTGCACACAAACGCTGCCTGACTAGGGCTCAAAACATCTACAGAGACCCACACAACCCTGCCATGGTCTGTTCTCCCTGCTACCCTCAGGCAAGCGGTTTCGCAGCATAAGGAGCAGAACAGCCAGATACTGCAACAGCTTCTTCCCTCAGGCCATCAGACTCTTGAACTCACAACAGTCCCCACCATCCTCAAATCCTAAGCACTTACAACTGAGCTGAAGTGCAATAATTTTTTGTGATATATATTGTGTATAAAATATGTATCGACACTGTGCAATATGCACATCCATCCATCCATTTTCTATACACCGCTTAATCCTCACTAGGGTC